AAAGGCTGTAACTGTGATATTATATTGTGTAGTTGGTTGTAAATCGCATATATTATGCATGTATTCCACAGCGTTACTTTGATAGCCAACCKCTGTTGAATTWCTCGTTGATGCACCATAGTACGTTACGTTGAAAAATCTTATACGACCTTCGATGGGATCCAATGGCTTCTTCCAATAAACTGCTAAGCAATCACTTCCCTTTGAAGTAGCCTTCAAGTCTTGTACTGGACCAGGTGCTGTGAACCGAATAGATAAAACATGGATGAATACAAAAAGGTTTCTGAATCGGCTTTTACGTCATGTTTGGGATAAAATATGGCGGAATGGTTTATCCCACAATGCATTGCAAATCGCTTAGGTGACAAATGAATTATAAAGTCTATAGACCTCTTTAGATTCTACGTTATATAACGTATATTCAATGCATTGTAGAATATGTTTGAGACAAAAAATGACAGGTTTTTTCCTTTTTTCTTGACACTAATCCCACGATGCATTGSAAATCAAATAGTGACGTAAAAGCTTCAGAGGACTATTTCTTCGTGAGTTTGAGACGTGATTAGATAGCCGGCAATCAACATAGTAATCATCATAATTTTATTCAAGCACACCGGCAAGAAGACAATGACTGCAAGAAGGCTTTGGACTAGACACCAGAGGAGTAGGTTGAGAGGGAAGCTATTAAAGACTACTTGGAGAAGGACGGTAGAGAGAAATACAAAAAAGCTAATTGGTTGCAAATGAATGGTTTGGAGAGATAGTGTGGAGGCCTTATGTGCCTTCTGGCGTACAGAGAAATCATGATGATGATAACGTGTTTTTCAAATCATGATGATGATAACGTGTTTTGCAATGACAAAAGAAAACGGCAACTAACTGAACAAGTCGTGCTCAAATCATACAAAACAGCATTACGTACAAGTTAGTGAAATGTAGCGGCGTTAACGCGTGTATACTCATGAAGAACGTACCTTTCTCTGCCGTCCAAACAGTGGTAGGCTCGGAATTCATACTGACGTCTCCCAGATACCACAACTTTAAACGAATGACGTAAGAAGTGTATGGTGTCAGGTTTGTTAAATTCTTTGATGTCACATAATTCTCGCCGACGACATGATTTATCAATGAAGGGTTGTCAACAGGATACCAAGTTARGTTGTAAGATTGATAAATGGAATAAAAGCTTTCAGGGACATCCCACTGTAAAGCGATTTCTGTCGTACTTGTGTTATGGCCTTGAAGTTTSGGAATTTCCGGTGGTACTAAAGTGATTATCARCAATATAATTTAGAAAGTTATTCTTRTTTGCAGCYTYYTCTGCAAACATTGCATTCCTAGAGCTTTTGRTAAATTCCGGRTTTGATGCTGTCTTCTGAATCAACACAGGAAGCCTTTATTTTTGGAGAGAACTCAGACGGCTTCGGAGGAGACTAGACTATAYATATTATCTGTACGATATTGTACACACATGAGCTCAACTAGACAAACAAAGACTGTTTTAGCTATAGATAGGGCTACTATAATTCAACAACAAATTTCCCCCCGCTCTCATTTATAGAGAGTCGACCACGTGACGTGATATTGCAGGCCACCAATGGGCACTATCGATATCAGCGCATAGAGCCATTCTCTTACCCAGATCCTTCTCGGTTAACTAACGGAAAATAAAAAAGCTCTGGTTGGAGACAATACTGGAATAACCAGAACCTGTATCGTACGGTACACGCGTCATGATGCCGCATGGGGATTTTTTAACCAAAACTTCCTCAAAACTTCATAGTCGCTCTCGAACTGCGTTCTCGAGTCGGGACACTTTGTTTTTTCAGAACATTAAGTTTCCTCGAGCAACCATGACAGCTCAATACACTCGATTTAACTACTCTACTATTTAAACAAAGAGATGAAAATATATACGTACCAATAGTGTAAATTGCTAGTGAAATATCAACATCTGTACCCAAAGCACCGTTATTAGAAAATTTAGGAATAAAGTCGCCATTGTTGTTGTAAATATCAAAGGTTACAGAGCAATTTAATATCGTTGGTCCACTGAAAAAAAAACAGAGACATCTCGTTTTATCATGGTTCATGAAGTGCAGTCAATTGAACAAATTCTGGACGCTAAATAACTTGAATCCTAAATCCAGTTTCCGCGGACAACTATCACAGCATAATGCCCTTGATTCAACTACTTTATGTTAAATAGGGTTNTAAGAAATCCTACGAATCCGCCATTTTCGTGTCCACCTAAAATGGCGCTTCGGTTCGCAAGGTACGTCGGGTGGTTATGATTCTTTAAAAAAAGAGATGAAAATATATACGTACCAATAGTGTAAATTGCTAGTGAAATATCAACATCTGTACCCAAAGCACCGTTATTAGAAAATTTAGGAATAAAGTCGCCATTGTTGTTGTAAATATCAAAGGTTACAGAGCAATTTAATATCGTTGGTCCACTGAAAAAAAAACAGAGACATCTCGTTTTATCATGGTTCATGAAGTGCAGTCAATTGAACAAATTCTGGACGCTAAATAACTTGAATCCTAAATCCAGTTTCCGCGGACAACTATCACAGCATAATGCCCTTGATTCAACTACTTTATGTTAAATAGGGTTTTTACATGATTGAGTCAGTTGCACGTATGCTATATCCACAGATAAAAATAAATAAATAAATTGGTGGTAGCTAATCRCTCATCCTTGCAGCCCGAGTGCTGAATTACGAAGGACGCAGCTCACGTGATCGAGTCGGTTATGCGGTATAAGGACAATCACATTGTTACAACACACACACAAAGCAGCTAACCAACCCACTAACATCTGATCACGGAGCACAGCTAGGATCGAAACGTTCCGTTTTTGCTGAGGGAGGAAAAACTGGAGAACTCGGAGAAAAAACCCTCGAAGCAAAGGAGAGAATGGAAACAAACTCAAGCCACATATGACCCCAAGTCAGAATCGAACCCGGGACCACAGTGGTGACAGACCGGCGCTCTCACCGCTCGACCAGCCCTAGCTGCCGTGTATTCTCCAATCTTCCCGATAAAATCATTATTTGCAGTATACTCAGCTATTTTAGAAGCCGTTGATTTTTGAAGACAAAGTATTCCAAAAACCGAAATGAATTGTGGTACAGTCAAGAACTTGAATGAGAAAGTAACAGCCCTTTTCGTGGTTAGGAAGCAAGTTGCGCGAGGAGTCTGTAGTTTTGYATCAAGGCGAGGCAGAATCGGGCAACGACCTAAAAATTGTCCTTTTCGAGTCTGTTTACTAAACAGAATTGCAATGTCAGGAAAAAAAATTGTTGGCGAAGAAAGTCATAATTTGGCATTTCCAGGCACTCTTGTTCGATTTGATGTCTGCAGCAAACACCATGCCCGCATTGGTTTTAATAGCGAAAAGGTAAATTACGTTTAGAATTGTAACGCGGCTAATCATGAATGAGGAGTTGAATTATAACAATGCATTGCCGTTTTGGAATACACTATGCAGTAAACAGTTTTCAACGTTTTTGGCTGAAAGATTTTCCTAMAATGATTACCTGCAATCATATGTAGTACTTATTGCCCCAGGACTTGGTACAATGCTATTGATCTGGAATGGAGATATGTTCCCAATTAATTAAAATGCATTTAGCTTGTATTATTTTTATTTATCATTTTTTTATCTGCTGTTGATCATCAAAACAGCCATCCTACCTTTGTCATCAAATTATATTGAACTGCTTTGAAGGMATCTGATTCTTGATCTTTGTGATCTTCCCAGGTTTTTGATGGGAAACTGAGTTGAAAATGAATCGAAAATCCTCCTGGGCCTTGCAAAGTGAAAATAAATATATAAAAACAAATTATTATTAAGATAAAGAAGCAAATTTAGGTTATGAGAATGAGACTTATATAAAAAATGCAYACCGATAATATCTAATAATGCTTGTAGAAACATTTATAACTGATTGCTTGATTTGTTGTTTTGTTTGATGTTTATTTTTGGGGGGGCTGGGGTGGGGTTTGGGGGGGGGATAATTATAGCTTCTTAGATCTGTCCACCTATGAATTACCTTTAAAAAAGTTGTGAACTTCCTTTACTTCATCTTGGGACAAGGCTCGACACCACAATGCAATCTCGTCTACTGAAGCATTAGAAGCATATAAAGGGCCGTTTTTACTAATATACATATCAGCTCTTCGGTCCTGGACGTTACATTTACCACAAGCAACCTTTTGGCTAGTTTGGAGTACTTTCCCATTTCTATACACCCTTATCGTTGGATCGGACGTTGAGCCTTCTAGCACTATTAAAATGTGTGACCAGACACTTTTTGGACAAGGAAAGTAGGCGACTGACCTTTTGTTCCCAAAGTGTGATTTTACATACAGTATTTCCTTAGAAGGATCAGTCTGGTACAGCTGAAACACTGGGCCTTCGCTTGAGCTGCCTGTGGTGCACAAATAAACACTATCGTCTTTTATAATTCAACATTCAATTTTCCTCCTCCTAGTAGCGGATATATGAGTGGATATAGTGGAAATGCCGCTCGAGAGGATATGTTACATTTAACAATTCAATTATTAGGATCTAGTAGATCAAGAGGCYGATTGGACAACAAGTTGATAGGCCGTAGTTCAGTAGCCAATCAGAATGCTGGATTCGTGATAACCCATAGTTTTGGGATAATAAAAGCATAAAGCATACTTACCGAAGGTAAAAAAAAATTGTTTCTCTGTTTTTTCCCCATACTTTAGCCACATAGCAAAAGAGAAAGTTTTTTTAATGATTATATCAAGGTTAAAGCAAGTGTCCTGATAAAGCCCAAGAAGTAAGTCTCCGGCGTTGAGCTGAAGTGCCTTCCGACTTAAACCACTTTCGAGTTGTTTGATTTTTCCTTGCTCATCCGTGTCAAGTGTGACTGTTCTACCAGTTTTTGTCTCGTGCAATGTAGGGTAGGTATCTAGGTTCCAGTAAAGATCGGGATGAAGGCTTTCATTAAAGGCTCCCAGAAACGCTTGTGAAAGCCCTAYATAATCAAATAAATGCGTGAATAAACGAAAATGAAATTCATAACTATATTTCCAATGGTTGCCAGAAAGATTGGACAATGTATAAACAAACTTCCTGATGATAAGAATTGCAATTAAATTGGCTCTCAATTAATACTATGATTGTATGAAGCTTGTCAACCAAGAMCAACATAACACAAACWATGTAAAAGGWCYGGAYCAATTCCTTTTGTTGGTTAATGTATCTTTTTTTAATAACATCTATTTTATTTACAAGATATACATTTATTTACTATTTTTTTTGGCTATAGTACAATTGKAGAGGGCTTAGCCATAGTTAGTATAGCTAAGCGAAGCCCACTGACAAGATATCTTGTGGGTTAATGTATCAATCGATGTTTTATAGGACAATATTTCCTACCCAYAGTACGTTTCGGTCGTACACACAATTTATCGCTTCATACACACCAAAATAGACACATCGTTATTCTAAAAAACTCTGTTCTTGCAATTAGGTGCATATATAACTAGTTAATCATAAAACATTAAAAACTATAAAATAATAAATGACATGGAATACAGTGATTTCAATAAAGAATAKTATGTAGTATACATAAATAAAAACAATTGTGTAGGAAAAAGAAAGGTTTCTGGAGTKTCGAATAMAAAATGTGATTATTTATTATTTATTTATAATGTTGTTACAATTATAAATTCTTCACAATGAATAAAGACTCCAATATTGTGCCTTAGGTCTTATGGAGATGATCAAGTTCTTTCTTTCAGCCGTGCAAAACATTATTGTCATGAATTTAAATACTCACCTTTGCGACACCAACCGTAGTTCCTGTCATTTCCACAGYCACACTTTCCAGTCACGTAATCACAAGTCCAGCCTTTCAGACTGCACCATGCGTCACAAGGATGATCTAAAGAGACAGCAATGTATATTTCTAAACTGGCTAAMTTATAATTCTACAGTTTAAGTAAGTAAAAAGAAAAGCAAGTTACATTCAACCGGATTCGAACCCTTGATCAAACGSATGTWTTMGAGCAATACGCATAAGCTCATTTCATTAAATTTGTGATTGCTCACAATTCACTATAGTAAACCTACCTCCAGCGTACAACACCTCAACTGCGTTTGCAACAAACGAAGAMTGTCCAGTCAAGWATGAAGAATCTGCCGCATTTCCATACTCTGTTCCAAGCTCGCTGCTAATCTTACTTCCACTRTGAAGTTGAAAAGCTTTTCCAAAACATGGTCCTTTGGTTGGGTCAATTTGAATTGCTTCGTGTCGAAACAACTTGTTAACTTTGAACAGTTTTTTTGATGAAGACGGATTGGACAGAGATAATATGAAAGAACGTGAGCTAGACAAGTTCAATGGCGAACTTAYATCTGTAAAGATATTYTAACATTATTAAAAGTTCAATAGCGCATTCTAAGATCGCGGTAGAAGGGAGAGCAAAGGACGTCGATTCTGGACGCATTGAAAATCTTGAAATACAAATGCCATRTTTTCACTTTTTCTTGTATAKCCYCARTTATGTGCAAATTGTTAAGCGTCTCTATTTTTCAGACAAAACTATATCTTAATTTAACARGAATTTGYCGAATAAWAGCATAGGYTAAACTTGRATTCTGCAGGATAAAAGGGAGCACGCCCGTTCGTGATTTGCTGCTATTTTCTATTCTTTTCGTTCCCGCTGAAAGCCTCCATCGATATCAATGAGGCGTGAAAACCGCTGAGCTGTTTACTGGAAAATATAAAAATATGGCAAAAAAATCAAAATGGTGGACGCTTATAGCACAACTTCAGAAGGAAATCCTTAGCAACATTGATTTTCACAAGTTTTGTATCTTCTTGTCGAGGATAACTTTTGTGCATTGAACCATTTGCGTYGCCGTTAAGTTCATTCAAAGCCCTCTTTGCAGACTTAACTAGTGTGTTGCAGAATKTACTAGTGTGGGCCAAACCTTCGCTCTCCACTAGCTATAATATCAGGAGACAACGCCTAATAAACAGATGCGAATATAGCTTTGACTTGACTTCTACTCTAAGWCTTACACAATAGCCTGCATGTGCAATTATATATTACCTGAGTAGTTCCAGTCTCTGTCGCTAAATGCAGCAAATATATATTCCTTGTACTGAACAATCGTGACTGTTGGTCCCTTGGATCCACAGGYAGACCARAAATGCGGTATGTTGTGTCCTTGGGATGTCTGATAACAAGGCTGCCAGAACCTGGCCGGAATTCCAGCACCAGCCAGTGCTTGAGTCAAGTATTTTGAATGGTTGGACTTCAGTCCAATGATATCAGACTTTGAGAATCCTTGAAAGGTAAAAAGTTCGTCACTTGCATCATAAATTAACTATATGCTTGCATACTGCATTAGCTAAAATATTTTGATAATAAATTATTAATCACAATAGACCTAATCGGCTAAGGCGTTGCTATGTTCATTACCACCCAATTCAAATTCTGTGTGAAAAAGAACTTTTGGGTGGTTTGAATTGGGTGGAAACGTTTATAGCAACGCGTTAGCCGATTAGGTCTATACTAGTGGACTATTACCAAAAGGTATTCTGTGAATTCTGATCGGTTGCACTTAGGTTTATTTACATGAACTATAGAGTAGCGAGAATGTAAACTTTTAATGTCCGCTTCGTTTGAATTTTATTATTATCTTGTAATCCTTTTTATATATTTTTGTACACTAAACAATACATTTCTCATTGCCTTTGTGGTGATGTGTACACCAACATGGCTGCCACATCGTGACTACAAAGCAAAGTATAGGTGGGCATTCAATGACGTAGTTTGTTTCTTACATCCAAAATATCAATTTCAAAAATAAACAATCTGAACTCATATAATTCAAGATTATATTACTCAAAACCTAAATATTTTAGGGCAAACGCATTTTTACATTTCGAGATATTTGCATTTCCAAAACTACAAAACTACTACAAAACCTATAAAAAAACATGCAGCGCTTGTCAAATTTCATTASCAAAAAAACTACGGTGCTTGATATCCCTATTGAACAAATTGTCTTCAAATTTTCAGGAATTGCTAACAGGAATGAGCTCTTTTCATTTATGGGCTTGATTTTCTTGTGGTTTGAAATATTCATTTCTGACTTTTATGCAAATTAGCTAAAACGTAAACATTGGCGCCCAAGCGCTTGGCGCCCACCTATTCTTGAAGTCTAAATATGAGACACTTATTCGTTCTTACCTGTAATTTTAGTGAGACTTGCATTTGAAGGCTCAAAATCACAATGATTTGTATGGAATTTAAGTTTATCGATAGCAATGTCAGCCATGAAACCATCTCCAACCACACCTTCGATCAGTACCTTAAAAAACCATCAATGACTTAATCTGACCACGTGACGAGGAGCTATTTCAAGGAGCGTTCATGCCGGACTGCACACGGCGTTTTCATAACCGTGTGTGTGTGTTTTTGTTGTTTTTTTTTTTTTTTTTTTTTTTTTTTTTTTTTTTTTTTTTTTTTTGTCGTCAGTCTACAGGAAGAGTCTCTTTGTCAAACCCTATTTTAGAAAGACTACAAGAAAATTCGCTTTTGCTATCATCCGCCATGTTTTTTTTATTCTATTATGATTTCCCGCGTTTTTCCGCGCGCGCGTTACGGAAGTGATTGCTCATTGGTCGAGAAAAACCTAGAAATAGRCACGTCTATAAAATCGATGTGACCACTTGAAAAACCCTATAAACATCATGGATGATCCTTGTAATGGCTCCTGGCCATATACACTCACACACAAACCGGTCAGATTATAACTTTCGAAAAAATTTTTCAACATTATGAAAAATTCTTATTGGAAAATAGTGTGGAAATAAAGCTCTAACGTAACACGTTTCTTGATTGCTTCCATCTTAAAATGCAGTTTCATCAAGGTTTATGACTAGTTAACACTCCATTTTTTGAATTGACCAAATACGCGCAAATGCTTGTGTTAATTTTCCGAAACATACGTACGATGTGAATCATTTCCTGAATGAGGAAATGTTTACATACATATTGTCTTTAAATAAGTAATTACAATGACAAGAGTATCCTATCAAGAAACGATTTGTGTCTCAATTTTACCTTAAACGCTCTTGTACGATTAATAGGTATTTTAGCGTTCCTCCATAAATTTCCTTGTGAGCCAGCAAGTCTCCAAACTAATTCTCGTTTCCGTATAGAGTCCTCAAGATACACGTTCAATCTACCGACATTTTGTCCCCACATGAAATACCAGAACTCAAAACAATGATACGCACTAACACGATAGTAAGTTGATAGAACAGCGGTATCTCCCTTTACGGCAGGCGCTGAGCCTTCCATGTATATAAACCTTGTCCCTTGAAACGAAAACAAGCAAAAAGAGTCAGATTGCACATGATAGACAAATGCAAAGCGCCACATTCTACCTAATTAAGACCAATACCTTTTAGTATAAACATATTAATGGTCTATCACTCATACTGCGCTGTGATTGGCTACTCTACTAATGGTCTAATTTGTGATAGACCACTCGCGGGAAAATCAAAATAAATAAATTCTAAATTCTAAATTATTTTAAGGATATTTCAATTTGTTTTCATTATTCTACCGATTAGTATGTTTATACTAAAACAATTAGACCTCTCGGCCTCGTGGACTACGAGCTAATAGCCCATTCGGCCTCGCGGACTCGGCCTCATGGGCTATTAGCTCGTAGTCCACTCGACCTCAAGATGACCGTTACAAAGGAAGCCCAAATTAGGAAAAAAGAGTTGTCTGTATATTAGACTCGTGGGTTAAGAGCGAGTTTCGGGAGAGAAGATGGAGGAGGTTGGAAGACGTTCACAAATGGTAAAGAATGTAATGTTTTTTTCTGGTATTCACACATCTAGCCAGAAAAACTTACAAATCTTTGCGTTCAGATAATAATTGTTCTCTTTGTTAGATTAAATGATATCTAACTCTAATTTTAATGTCTATCGTGCTGTTTGATAGTTGTACCATATCAGACTAAAAACCCGCATTACCTGAAGCTTGACCACTACATGGTCCTGTATTTGCAGTTGGTGTGCAACCTTGATGTGCAATCCAGCCTGGTGAGATGATCTTCAGCGGGAAACTGTTYGTTCCCTGCGGATCGAGACTTGATGGGATTTCAAACGGTCCATCTTGAATATATTTGAAGCAATAGAAAATTAAATGGTAACCATAATACACAGAAAATGGTCGATCTGAGAAATGGGTTTTCTGTTGGGTGAATCCGATAGCTGAAGTGAAAGCGAAAGCTTCAAAATCTCAATTGTTTTTTAAAACATTTAAATATTTGACAATGTGTAATTTTTCTATTTTTTTCACGTTTTACATGTAAAGATATAATATTCATTCTCATAGCATTCATAATGCCGTATAGTCTATAAATGTCTTGTTACAAGGCACCCAAAGTTTTTTACTGAATCTATACTAATAACCAATAGAATTCAAGATGTTGGCCGTATTTATTTGCTAAAAAGATCTATTGAATATTTTCTTAGACATGAAATCGCGCTATCTATGTGAAATTTTTGCCTGTAAAAAGAGATTTTGTTTTACGATGGCACATATTAGTAGAATTTTTGCTTTCTAAGGGAATGCTTGACATATGTCGAAAAAAGTAATTCTCGCCACGTGA